GTAGTAGTAGTAGTAGTAGTAGCAGTAGTAGTAGCAGTAGTGTAGTAGTAATAACAATGGTATGCGTGTTTTTGTATGGGAAGGTCTGGCATAGTATTGTGTTCTCTCTGATATTTGTGTGTGTGTGGACATGTCTGCGCATGTGAAATACACATAACGATATATACATGTATATATGTAATGCGTATGTCATGTATCGTCACAATACCGTAGCATACCGTACATTCTCAACTTTGTTCTCGTAATTCGCGGTAATAGTACTTTGTCTAAGTTGATAAAAGTCTTCTCTGGTCCGAAAGAAGTTACAGATACTTAGGCACTTGTTATCTCATCTAGTGATCCATCGTACAAAGAGCAATAATGAATTCAATTGTATGTATATCCTAAACAATCGGTACTCGGAGGGGCAAGTGTTTTCACTCGATAAGAACGAGAGCAGGGATAAGGATCGAATCAGGTCTGGCGCCTGGGTCTCTCTCTCTCTCTCTCTCCCTCCGTCGTTGACCGTATTTCCCGGTCAACGTCGTTTTTGCAAATGAAGCTCGCTTGGCTTGAAACGCAGTGGAACGTAGTCGCTCGAAGTCGGAAGAATTTCGTGCGCGATCATCTCCGCTGCTGTACCGTTCCTAATTGGCAATCGTACTACTCTCTTTCTCTTTCTCTCTCTCTCAGCTTTTCCAGTCTTTTTTCACCTTTTCGCGACGTTGCTTTATTGCTGCGTCAGCCGATTCTCTCTCTCTCTCTCTCTCTCTGAATCGCGTCGGAAGCCTTCTTCACTCCAACAATCAACCGCGACATCTGTCGACTTTCGCTGCTCACTCGAGAAACTGCTGCTGCGAAATCTTCGCGTCTTCGGCGAAACGACAGACTGAGTAATACAGCTCAGGGATGTAAGAGTCGTTCTCTCGTTTGGCTAGGCGAACGAGAGTTTAGGAACACGATTTATGACGTGGCGTCGCGTCGCTAAGGCGGTGGCGGTTGTTGTTGCTGTTGCTGCTGCGACGACGAGTCCGAGGTCGCGGAGGCCGTTTGCCCCTCGCCGTGATAGTAGGATCGGTGATACTGTCGCGGGCCGGGTGGCGGTTGCTGCTCTTGCAGCGGCTGGTACCCGATCCCTGTCGCCTGCTGCTGCTGATTCGGCTGTATCGGCTGATAGGTCGGTAACCATTGCTGCTCCGCTCCCTGCTGCAACTGATACGACAACGGTTGACCGTGGCGTTCCTGCAGGAGGAGCTGGTGCGCCGCCCGGTCCATCTCCTCGCGCGTCATGTCCAGCGCTTCTTGCATCTCTCGCGACGTGTATTTTACGAAGTCTGGGTCGCAATACTTGCCCAGTCCTTGCTCAGCGAGAACCTACGAGAACACAGCGTTTCGCCCTTTCATTCGATCAATTGCAAACAGCAGGCGTTCGAACTTGCTAGCTATCGAACACCTATTAATTAGGTTATTAGGTTTGCCTAAAAGTCATTCGACTGTTGACACATTGTACGTGAGGAACGTGGTGTGTAATATGTTTTTAAACACTTAACGGGCGGGTTAAGAAAATCTCTTTCTTGAGAGAATTAAATAAATGTATTATGTATGGTTTCAAAGCAGTTTCATTAAATCAACACTATTTTTGATAAAATTTTGCAAAGTTACTTATTTACGTGTCTAGTATCTCTTACGAGTCTGATATTTTGTAAAACATTCACCCATGTCAGGTGTGGACTCTCTTCGGAATCGATATCATTTACTTGTTGATCGGTAGCCCAGATCCTTGCTTATCATAAGTTATATGTACGTTTGATGTTGAACTTCTTGTCAATTACTAATGCATCGAAGAGAGCGCAAATTAACAATTAAGTAGAAACAAGATTCCCTCATCTTCCACA